TATATTATAAAGAGTCTTAGCGAGTAGAGAGACCCTTAGGCTAAAGCCTTACGAACTACGAAAGTTTAATTCGCCGTACTACAGCCCGATAAATACTACCCTAACACTAAATCCGCCTAACTCTACCTTATTATATTAATTTCAGAACTCCACCACTATAGCACCTATAGCTTTATAAATAGTCGTATTCGTATAGCCTCGACGAGCTCGTTCGAACGATACAATAATCCAGAAGATTGCACCTCGTAAAGTCTCTACTTGAGAAAACAATCCTATACCACAATCCTATACCACTTTAGCCATCTTTAGTTAGTTCTCGTCCCGTACTAGCCCGTTATAGTTTGGCACCACCAACAATGGTATACCATTGTTCGGGTCCTTTTGGATAGGGTTATGGCGCTTGCATATAAGTGATGGCTCTTTTGTAAAGCTGGGTTGTAATTGGGCCGGCGCGAGTACTATGGTGGCCGTCCCAGGTGTAATGTAAAGTTAAGGTGCCTACCGTTATCGTAAGAGCAAGGTCTAGTGTTATTTGTCGCTCTATTTTAGTCTGAATAAAAATACACAGTATCAGCGAATAGCGTGCGAATTTGACAATATCTACTAGAGTTGGCGCTTATTTAGTAGGGAAAATATTCGTATGTCGAAAGTAATCGATGTCGGTAGAAATGAGCCTAATTGCGTTTTATATTGTAACCCCACGAAGCACTCCCTCTTTAAAGGACCTCGTTCCTTTTCCGTTCCCGTGATTCGCACATTACTTGTCGAAAGTGGTGGTCTTGCTGCCAGTAAGGTACTATACAGACACAGCGTCCTTGATTCTCCCTGATCCTACCAGCTATATAGTCGCTCAGTCTACGTGTCTTGGTCATAAGTCTCGCATATGCCTATCACTTTTTCTTTCATTGAAGACAGTTTCCCTTCGCCTAGCACCGACTCTCTATGGCGAAAAACCAAGCTGCATGGCTTAATGCAAAGTCAACACCCCTAGAGGTGCATGATGCTCCTTTTCCCACTCCGGGCGAGTATGAGATCATTGTGAAGAATGCTTGTGTGGCAATTAATCCTATCGATTACAAACTTCAGAGTTTTGATTTCATGGATCTAAACTATCCCGCAATCTTAGGATGCGAGGTTGCTGGCGAAATTGTTGCATTTGGGAGTCAAGTCCAGAACTTTCAGATAGGTCAGAGGGTCGTGGGGTCCGTCTCTATCCATCCTTATGAAAGACGCTTACCGTTGGCCCTAGGAATTGCCATTCCAGTATCACAAGAAATTACAAACATGCAGGGTTTCAAAAGTACACCGCCCTATCATCGTCTCTAACTACATCGATCCCCAATGAGCTGCCTTTTAGTGCAGCAGTTGTGCTTCCTGTTGCAATTACTACCGCTTCTGCAGCTCTTTTTGGGCCGGAAAATCTTGGAATTGCAGTCCCGCAAATGCCGATATCAGATCCTTCAGGTGCGCGCACGCAACAGTTGCCTCCTTTAGACGGCACTTCTACGGTATTGATATGGGGAGGCAGTACAAGTGTAGGCTGTGTAGCAATTCAACTTGCTCGTGCAGCTGGCCTAAACGTTATAGCGACGGCAAGCAAACATAATTTTGACTTATGCAAAGCTTTGGGAGCTGATAGAGTCTTTGATCGACAAAGTGGTTCCACAGTTGACAAAGTTATAGCAGCTCTACAGGGACAAATCCTGATTGGTGCTCTAAATGCTGTTGGATCCCACAATACACTCCAGTCTTGTATTGACATCATCATCGGTGCAGGAAGCGAGGGGGTGATTGCGACTACCTTACCCATTGAAGATATAGTGGACCAGAAAGGTGTTCAGGTGAATTTTTGTAAGCTGAGCCCCCTTCATGCGAATAACATCATCACATGGTTGCTACCAAAAGTATGCAACATCCTAAAGGTTCAAATTCGTCAGTTCGCAGAAAGACAATTGGAACACTACTGATGATATTGCTGTATCACCTAGTTCACGGCCTCTCCATCTTACAAAACGGGCTTTCATCGGCTATATGGCGTGAATTCCTGCCTAAAGCACTTCGGAATGGCACATTGATACCGAAGCCCGATGCCGTTATAGTTGGGTACGGTCTAGAAGACATACAGAAAGGACTTAATATTGCTCGGGAAGGATATAGTGCATCGAAATTAGTCATAATGCTCTAAACGGCCGAAGGGTGTCAGTATTCACTTCTTAGAGGCCGTTCTTCCAAGACATAGTAACATCAAGTTTGCTCGAAATTGTTCTATCAGGACTTCCATTCTTCTAAGTTTCCTTGTCCGTATATTACGAATTTAATACTAGACGTAAATAAACTACCCTGCTCTCGCTGATGTGAAACAATTTCCTACTTCGTTGTCAGATGCAATAAACCCTCTTGCTGCTGCGCTCGTTACCGAGAATAGAAGTCAAAAAGATTTCACTCCTACTCGTACCTGGTCACCCCTGAAAAATAACATGATCATATCTCCGTACCAACCGACCCCCATTAGTCTTCAAGCGAGTCAAGAGTCTCAGATGGGGCTAGATCTGATACGGCAAGATTTGAACTAAGTTACTCGGTACTGGCAACGCACTTTTAGCGGGAGGAGCGTAAGCGAGATGGCCCTTAGCGAGCCGGGTGTGCTCTTCATGGATTGTTTTCCAGTCACGTGGCCGGGTTTCAAAAGCTTAATTGGATGACAGTCAGCCGTGGCGAGAACCAGACATTCAAAGGTAGTACGAGTAGAGCTAGATTGCAGTCGTTTGCGCCCTCAAGTCCACTGTACCCCTTCGTATTCTTCGTCTTCATCCACATCTTCACTCAGGATATAGTGCTCAAGCTTAGCGTGATTTCTTGAAAGCTTGGAGGTTTCTCATTCCTGCCTCGGAGGCAAGTCCACTTTGGAGCCGTGAATGATCAAGATTTCCTCCTTAACCCCGCTAAGTATCTCTAAACCGATGCTCCCGGGAGTTACCCGTTGTACGCCGAGTCCAGGAAAACATCCAACTTCGTGGATAGATCGGATGGTCAGGATTATAGGGCCCCAACAGAGTCGACGCCAAAAGGCAATCAGAGCAAAGGGAACTTGGGTTTAGGAGCTCGGATGTTCTTGGTCTGTATCCTTTTGTGAAGCATATACATAACGCAACACGAAGTGTCTATCCGCAATATTGAGCGACAGTAAAGAGTTTCTCGATGATCTAATATCTCTTTTGGGTACCGCTAGGCGTCATGATAGTCATTCGACAAGCAAGTAAACTAAATCGTGGAATAAAATATGCTACTACCCCTTATTGATCTCTGATAATGATTCGCGCTTCCAGCTTATATCTTTCATTGCGTACCACATATTCCTTATCTGAACCTGACGAAAACTAGGGCGACATGACCGTGTATCATATTTGTCAGTTTTTTATTCTATCGCGAAAATCCAGGAGAAGGACGAGAATTATCTCTCACTCATGCCTCCCAATGTTTTGTGCTGACTGAAGGTACCATTATAGCGCTTTTTCAAGCTAAAGAAGGAGCAACACAAGCCCAAGTAGATGCGTTCATGATTATGGCCAAGGAAATGGTGGGCAAAATCCCTGGACTCTTGTCCGTTGAGACGGGCAAGGCCATCGATATCACCAAACAATTCAACCGAGGATACGAGTGGGGTCTCGTATTGACTTTTGAGAACACTCAAGTTGTAGAGCTTTACATTGACCATCCAGCACATAAACCGTATGCCATCCCGTTCCTAATACGAATGAGTTTTGGAGCTGAGCTAATTACAACTAGACTCTATCCGCTCTGTGAAGTTGCATTCGATGTGCAGTCGATGCTTCTCTTCGATTTCGAATTCTGAACTGAGGACAAAACGGGAATGATTCATGGTTCTCTCGGGTGAGGGCTTGTATGATCTTGAGAATATCTCCTCTGCAATACAGTCTTAGGTTTTTCAGGTGATGAACCTTAGTGTCCCGCACGACTGAACAACCCAAAAAGGGTGTACTAAACCAGATCTAGACAACAATAGCAAATTGTATCGCATGCCTCAATGCTAAGAGTATTCCACGTGACTAGCACGTGGCCCGCTCACATCTCTCTATGCAGTCATTATTAGTTAGACCGACTTATACTAGAACTCAAGTTATGATGCGCTCACATGTTTCATGCTTGCAGGGTCGCGGCGGGTTGCAGCTCTCAGTAGCGGGGATACTACCAATTGTGAGAGGATAAATTAGAATAGGATTCTTTCCATGCTATGTATCAAATTTTATGAAGAAAGCTTAAGCCCGAGAAACTTGTTCCGGTTCCGCAACATCGTGACGAAGTCTAGCATGCAAATCCTCAATTGGAGCGTCAACCCGATAAGTCATAGTCTTTTCCAAATCGCCCAGGAACAGGCAAAGTATGCATGCAATAATACCGAACGGAGCTGCGATGATATAGATCAGGCGCAGTGAGTCTGCATACGCCTGTTCTAATGCCAAGAAGCCCTGCTGAATAATTGTTGAGTTCACTCCCGGGATACCACTCAAAGCGGGTGCATCTCCATTGACAATCGCGCCGATAAAAGTCGCAATTGAGCCGCCGGGAAGGCCAGCTCGAGCAGCGGCATCAGCTATGTAGGTGGGGATCTTTGTGGAGAGAGAATTGGAAAGCGCTGAGGTATACGCGGCAGTAAAAATTGTCCCACCTACTGCACGGGCAGAATTGGTGATTGCCGTAGCGGTAGCGATTAGCTGATGGGGAGTGGATAGTTGGACGCCTGCTATGATCAATATTAAAGGTGATCCAAATCCTATGCCTGCTACTGCCGCAAAAGCAAGTTGACTCGCGTTGTCACCTGGGTTCAGTGTCGCCATACCAATGTTTCCTACGGTAAACAATAAGAATCCGAGAAACAGTGGCTCTCGAATCGTTCGAAATTTGGTGCTCAGAAAACCCCAAAGTGGGCAACTGATGAGGAACGCGCCCCAAAATGGTAAGAGACGCACTGCGACCATGAAAGGATCTCTAGTGAATAATGCGGTTGTCCTACGTGGCATTGTTAGTAGCTGCCAAATGTTGAGGTGGATCAAAATAAAACAACGTACACCACCGAGTAGAAGATGATGAAAGGGAAGCCAAGAACTGCTTCAATAACCATCAATCCATTGCAGATCCCGAAGATTCTCCCCCCATTCTTTCCTCCGCGAAATAGCTCATGGTTAAGTATACCATTTTTTGTACACTTCCACTCGTAGAAGCCAAAGCCAAGGAGAACGAAGAAGCCGGAGATCAAGGTCGCCAATGTGTGAGCATCAGTCCACGAGTAAAGGCCTCCACCCAGGCTTAGACCAACCGAGAAGAGCGTCAATCCTGCAGCCAAGAGACCAAACCCAGGAAGGTCAAGGTGGCCCAGTTTCTGACTGAACGAGAGGTGATCTAAGCGTGTGTGTCTTTTTGGAGGTCTATATCCAAAAATGATGCCTACTGCAGCAGCACCCCATATTGCAAACATGATCCACTATCATGAATTAGTAATCTGCGGGATGAGCGAGGAGAGTCATAGGAGCATACGTAAAACAATCGCCAGCCGGTGTGGGGGTCGCGTTTTGTAAGTGCACCTACTGTCAATGGACCAGCCATGGCAGTTATGGCTGCAACAACACCCGTGGATGCTTGAACCACTATGTAGTACTGTGAGATTCGTATACCGCCCCAGGAGTGGGGTATACCTACTGGGTCTCCACTTTCTGGGTAGTATCTCACTGGGCACCACATAGCTCAGAGGTACTGCAGCTAGGCCGACTCCAATCAAAGCTTGTGCCCCAATCACCCGGTAGATATCTGTGGCTCCAGGGGCAATCGCTGTGCCAATGAGTGCAACCGTGCAGGAGGCCACGAGAATAGGCTTTCGCACTTGGAATATGTCCGAAGCAGAAGATATGACGGGTCCGATCACTGCTTGCACCAAAGCAAGCGCGTTGGGAACCCAGGTTTGCGCATTTGTGTTCCCAAGGTCTGCTCCAATAAATGAAAGCTTTTAATTCATGGTCAGAAATATTGATTTCAATATTCACCATCAAACAGGAGGCTACATACAACAGCAGGAGGACCTTGGAACGCGAGACCCTGTCCAGCCAGTAGAAGGTAAATGGAGCCAAGGGCAATCCAAGTTGGCAAGTGAAGCTCTGGCTCTTCTTCGTCATTGATATAGATTACATTACCAAGTGTTTGAGGCAGCTGGCTTGGACCTTCATGGTGTTCGCAGAAGACAGCATTGCTATCGGCATGCTGCACGACTTTCTCGTCAGCTGATACTGGAGGAGTGTTACGTTGCTTTGCTTCTGCCATCTTGGTCATAGAAGGAGTGGACTAGTGTGTTCTTCCCAGCTTAGAAGAGATGCGAATTGAAGAAGAGACAGAAATGAACAAGTTAAGATCAGAAGCAAAATAGTAATGTTGTACTGTCATCCCGATCTTACCGCGGTGGCATCAACTCCGTCCCGTCAAGAGCAGAAAGTCAACTGTATGGGTTGAATATACAGCGTTCGGTGACTGTTTGGGATGTGGTTCGGTCCAGCAGTATTGGCCCGCTAACATTGAAGACTCTACCTTGACGAGTCTGCATCAAACAACTTACCGGAGAAGTTCGTGCTGCATGACGCCCTCGTGCTTCATCCTTGCCGTTCAATTCGGATTTACCTAGTGTCCTGATTTGCTTAATACTGCACCTCTAGCGCAGGAGAATATGATATAGTTCTCGGAGTTAAATGTCCGTATCTATTTGGAAGCCACAGTAGGCACACGAAGATCAGCAAGCTAGGCTTGCCTCTCACCTGAGTTTTGCACGGCACTCGTATCCGTCGTCCCGCGAGTCGACCAATGCCTTGAAACGCGATCACGGGGCCGGGAGTCGATGCACCAAAAATTCGAGCACCGAAAATTCGAGTTTGGGTGCTCTTCATAAAATGCCCATTAAGCAGAATCAAAGGTAGACCTATCACCCGTCCATCGATTTTGACATTCATTTCGGCTGCAATTATGAACTCCAATTCAAACAATGTTGCTGACGTTTGGGCGACGTCCGGCATTCCTCAAAAGCAGCAAGCCTTCCTGAAAAGATATTTTGAAGTTCTTGATGCCGAGCCAGAGAAAGGTGCCCAAGAATGGGCGAATAGTTTCGCTGAAGGTGGCAGATTTGTCAATGGTACTATGGTTATCGAAAACTCAAACGGTATGCCAGACTCCCAGCGGATATTGAAGACTTCGCCACTGATCAACAATAAGCAAGATCTCGAACATGAGCGACACAAATACTGGAAGGCGTGGCCACATCTATATCATGTCGTAAAACGTATCTATGTGCTTCCAAGAGCCGAGCATTCCGACTTCGTAGTAATCGGGAATTGGGCGATCAAGCGGCCAGATGGCTCGACTCTACAGCGTGACACAGCTGCTAGATTCCACTTAGTCGATCAGGAAGGTGATCTCAAGATCCGTGAAATGGAAGTGTACGCGGTAGGCGTTCCAATACCCACCTGGGCCGCTGTTCAGTGAGCTGATAATGACTCCTTCGTCTTTAGGATCCATCTCCATTACTCGAGATCATGAAATGATAACCCGGGTTGAAAACCTACCAGTTTATGGACCGTAGGAAGTGGTATGATTCTCGAGTCTGTTTAAACTTGTCAATCCTTGAAATTTGTAGAAGATATGGCATCTTGACCTGGCACGTATTGGTGCTGACTGTGGCCCAAAGCATTGAATTTTGATCATCTTCATAGCCTTCAAGATCACAAATACAAACGAAAGACACTTCAAGAGAGCTACCTGTATTAATCCTTACTGTGTAATATATAGTTTTGTTCAGTGGCTGAAGTTTCCTAATGATTCAATATCTCCTTTGGCTAACCATACAAACTTGGAAGCTCACAGTTGGGTGACATCAAGCAAGAGTCTTCCACCCTTACTTAAAGCAGCGAAGCGGTCTTCCATATCCATTTCTGCTTCTTCCATCTCCGAATTGAGTTTGAAGTCCAAATGACGAACTAAGTGGCTGACAGCTAGGCGGATCTCCAAGTTTGCCAGGTTCTGACCTATGCAGTTCCTCGGCCCTAAGCTGTATGGTGTAAATGCTTTCTCCCTAGCACTTGATAGAGGTACGCCAAGCCAGCGATCAGGATTGAAAGTGTGAGGATCTTCATAAACAGAGGGATCTTGATGATGAACGTAGTTCTGCATCGAAATCAGAGTACCTGGTGGAAAGACGAGTTTATGCTTTCCCTCGCCTGCCTCTACCGCTGTGGTCAGAATTCGTGGTAGAGATCCGATCAAAGAAGGGTTCAGTCGCATTGCTTCTTTAATCACAGCATTCAGATACTTCAGATTGGTTAGTGCGAAGTTGGTCGTGCCAGCCGCATGTAATTCCTCTCGTAGTCTGAGTTGAATACCTCTATTTTCTGGACGGGACAGATGGTAAAGAATGTACAATATAGTTGTAGATGTCGTTCCACTTCCAGCAAAAAGAAGACCCATCGCTTCTTCAATGGCTTCATCTTCGGTCAAAATTCGGCCTAAGTACTCGTCTTTCTTGTGAACAAATGGTTCGGCAAGAAATTTATCGGTGTAGTCTTCTTTTAAATTGTTTACAAAACTTCGATAGAGTTTTCTCGTCGTTTCTTCCCATATTCTTCGTTGTGTATAGGCACGACCAATGACACCAGGGATGTATTCACTTAGACTCGTTTTTCCTAGGATAGGAATAGTGTTTGAAAGTGGCTGAATCAGCGAAGCCTGACCCATTGCAGTCAAAAAAGCTCGCCCAGCGTCAAGTGATTCAGCATTAATGTCTTGGTCGAATGCGACCTGGCATATTACTTCAAGACTGAAAAGCCCGCACAAGACTTGTACGTCCACAGTGTGACTTTTGGATATTGCAGATTCGCTGATGATACGCTGAAGTAATGTGTCGGCCTTGGAGATAACCTCGGGTTCATGTGCGTTAATTGACTGAAGTGAGTAAGGATTGTTCTCAATTTTCCGCCTTGCAGCATGCTGAGCCTTGTTTCTGACTCTGTATTAGAGAACGGATGTGACTATGTCAGAGAAGAGCTTCAAACCTCATGCTAAAAACATTTTCATGCGGTGGTGTAAGTCTCGTCGAACAATAAAACGAATCTTCCTTTAAGCTGTTTGTTTGATTGTAAACCTTTCGGTATAGTTGATAATCAGAAGCTGATATTTCGTTTGGTCCAATTCGCACGTAAGGCCCGTATACCTTATGGAGTTCCAGCAGTGTCTTAAGGAAAACGTACTATTAGCGCCACTCACTGCATGAAAGCTACATTTATGAACTTACATGGCAGCGAATTCCTTTGAGCGTGGATAGTTGCATGTAATATGGAAACACCTTCGCTAGTCGAGGACCCGGCACAGATGCCAGTGGATGAAAGAAAAGGTTGTAGAGCACCTAAGTAACATCATGAGCGAGAGACGATTATAGACAGGAGAGTTTGTGTTTTCTTACATTCCAAAGGCATTTGAGAACCACTGCAGCTGCAGAAATTTGTACCAGCAACAACACAAGGCTGAGATCCTTACCCATTACTTCGCTTTGTAATTTGAAGACCATCGTATCAGGAGTGAGTTAGAAGAATGAGGTTGAAAGTACATAGATACAGTGAATTCCTAGCGACGACAATCGCACTTAATACTGTTTTGCTACCTTAGTCCAGGATTACTTAGTCCCATGGGCTGCTGATTTCATATCTTGGCCGACTGCTAGCACTAGCTTTACTGTCAGCCTCGAATGTTAAGAATAGATCTAGGCGAAAATTGATTCCCGATCACGCACACTACTTATACTTTTCCAACTCAAGACGATATTCCACCGGATAGGCTTTATACTCCGGCCGCAAGGCCTAATGAGTAGTGCATGCCTAGATTAGTATTCGGTTACCTATATATAGATAATAGGATAGACTTATTTATATAGTAGGTGATTTAAGTGGGATCCGTCATTTGCTGTCGAAAAGGATTAGCGCTGCTCTAAGATACAAAGAGCCTTTTCGTAGTTAATATAAGACCTTTATATTGTAGAAGAGATTTAAGAATGCAATCAAGGACCCCGGTCTCTAGGCACCTCGAGCCTCCAGCCTCCAGCCTCTCAAGACATGCCAAAGCTCTAGGTAGCAGGATAATAAAGAAGGTGGCCGGTAAACCTAAAATCGGACACGATCAGATTACCAACTTCAGCTTCAATGAATCCTTCTTCAAGATTTCACTCTCTTTCGCAGCAAGTTCTTGCATGTCGAGAGGTCCAAACACAAACCGACCCGCAAGCCTGTAGTGATTTGTCAGCTGCCGTCTAGTTCTTGAACGGCCGTGACACAGGCCGGAATCGCGTTCACTCACCATTCCTTTCGCTCTCGAGTCAACCAAACTATTGTATCGGCGCACAATTGAGGTGTCTGTGTTAGATAGGAGTGCATATATTCTGGCATGTTAAGAGCTGTTTCGGTCTTGACACCCCCAGGATGAACAGCATAGGCAATCAAACCCTTGATTATGGATATGTTAGCCTCGTGTGAAGGATATGGGCACGGGTTATTGAGATATCTATGACAAAAGGACGTACCATGTCGCCGTACTCTGCCATCAAGAAATCATTCAGCCGTATCTGGGTAGTCTTGCTCATTTGGTACGCGCTTGCGCCAGGACTGTTCGCTCCTTAAACATTAGAACAGTTCTTTTCTGCGTTTCTCCTCAAAAAGGGTATGACTCAAGAACTTGAAAAGAGAATAGATAAGGAGCGTACGGACGTTGAAATGAATGCTCCAGCACTGGTTAGTGTGACGATAGTTTTCAATCTTCCTTTCAATACTAAGGGAAGAGCAGCCCTGGTCACAATAAAGGTTCCCTTTAGATTAACTTCCCATGTCAACCACCAGTCATCGACGTCAGTCTGTGCTAGGGGCACCCATTTCTCCAGCCTCGATGCGTTGTTTATAACCACATCCAGTGATTGGAAATGTTCCGCCACAATGTCCATTGCCCTTCCCACCGCAGCTGGATCTGACATATCGGTTTGAAGTTTCAAAATCTTTGGTTGCTTATGACCAGCGGCTTTTGCTACCTCGATGGCATCTTTCGCAACGTCATCAAGTTGTGAACGAGCAAGAAGGGCGATCGCCGAAGCACCAGCACGGGCAAAGGACTTCACTGTCTCATAGCCAATGCCTCGGGAGGCACCAGTAACCAGCACTTTAATATCGGATGCAGCACCCTTCTCCGGGTTAATGAACGGATATGTGTCGTGATGGAATTCGGTAACAATTTTCGAACCATAAGGATCGTCTGAAGGCGCGGGTTGAGCCATCTCGTCAATAATTACGTTAATTACTAAGCAATTGTATTGGACATTCAAAAGGCACCGAAGTAGTAACTACAGTTTCTGAGTCAAAGGAGCTCAGAAGCGTTGATTTATCTAACATTTCCCAACGTCTCCGAGCGCCAGGGTTAGGCGCCGACATTGTAACTTACCACTATTGGCATACCTAGAAAGGTAAACGTATGTTCAGCTGGGCAAATTTTACACTATGCTGAACGACTGCGAAAATTGTCAGCTTTTTGGGTTAGATTTGAGGGTGAAGATTTAACTTCCTAACACGTGATCGGGAAATCGTGAAGTAATTGAATGGTGCCAAATTCTTGCATTATGTCAAGCCACGAACGCAAAAATGCAAGATAGTTTTTTAGAGCCGAACCAGTCTTCCTTACACGGAGAAGGACTAGAAGCCTCACGCTCTATACTGTTAGTGACTGACTCTCAAGATGGGAGCGATCTAGCATGAGGATAAGGAAAGGTTGAGAATAAGACGATAAATGATCTGCATTTTATTTAGTGCTTGAAAGCTATCATAAACGAGTGTAACTACTGGCCTATCCTGTAGATTAGTCAATAATCGGCATGACTATGTAGGAGTCGAAAACAGATCCTGTATAGATTCGGTGCTTGCCGCTATTAACAGTGTTTTCGTGAAGCATCGTCTGTGGAACTTTATCGTCGCGGAAAATGTCGGTCCCTTGAACTGTAAGCAGCAAGGTCTCACCCTCCAGGAAGCGGGTTGATGTTGCAATAATCTCGATGTCTACCGGAACGATCTCTCCCGGTCGTAAGAGCAACTTCCTCTTATGTGACATCCATGGGCGGTTGTGATCGCTTAAGTCGAGGTCTAGCTCTCGATGGCTAACCCGCAGCCAGCCAAGGCCAAGCGGGCCTGTATCGAACATAGAAAATGCAATGAACGGAACCCGTTCCCCATTTACATCCAGCTTATCGAGCTGCACAAATAAATCAAGGTCGTTGCCTTTAGACGTAGAGACCCAGAGTCGTAATCGCATGCTGCCTGTCAGTTCTGTTTCCTTGTCGAATATGTACGTAAATTGTGCCTTTTCAGAGGTCGACAAAGAGTCGTATGAACTTGACGAAATATTTGGCTTCAGCTGGTTACTCAACTGCCCTAACTGCGCGTCGAGGTATTTCATTGAAAATCGCGTCCGCCTAATTGGCCACTCCTGTTCTTCTCGTATATAACCTTCGTAAGCTCGATTGCGTACCTCAATTCGTACTGGAGGCCATTCGTCGACCTGACTGGGTTCATTTTTGAGAAATCTCTGGTAGAATGCTTCTTGACGAGCTAAGCTTTCAGGCTGGTAGTAGTACTGCCACTTCTTGCGCCCATGAACCTCAAGCCATTTTTGCTGGGAAGCAATTTCTGTGTATCCGTTTAGTGTACCTCTCGTATGAAGCCCAAAGTCACCCCAGTCAGCAACAATATAAGCCGGGATTGCAATTGCAGATAACCTTCCAGCTCTTTTGGATTCATTGTAAGCGTCCATCAGCTCGTGAATTTGATTATTGGCGTACCAATTTTCAGTTGGCTTATGTGAGAATTGACAAGACCAATCTGAGAACCTGGTAAACTTTGTCTCCGGGATACCTCCGCAGTGTGTGTGATCTCGAAATGCATCAGTGTATCCTTCCCAGGGATTAATGCAGGAAAGATGTGGCGGGTTAAGCTGTGCGATACGCCACTGCACGATTGCTAGATAGGATACTCCGCAAAGGCCTATTCGGCCGTTTGACCAAGGTTGTACCGCTGCCCACTCAACTACGTCGTATCCGTCTTCTGCCTCCTGAGGACCAAGGACTTTAAGATTGCCCTCTGAAGCCCAAGAGCCCCGGCTGTCAGCATTGAGGACAGCGTAGCCACGCTGTGTCCAGTATACGGGATCAGGTCCTTCCCAGACTGCATATTTTGATACTGAACCCTTGGGCACGCCCGAGTTAGGAAACATATCAAATGTTTTCAGCACGTGCTTCCCGTATGGTGACATTGTCATAAGCGTTGGGAGGTTGCTTGAAGAATCCATAGGAAGGAACACGTCAATGTATATATGCACTCCATCCCGCATAGGAATTTTAATATCGCGAGTTACCTGCATCCCATCAATATACTCGACCAAGTCAGGCCTGAGGCCTGGGTAATTGCCCTCACTTGGCTCCACTGAGTCTTTCCATTTGAAGGGATGAGGCTCCGTAGCTGAATGTGCAAATGGCATCTGCGGCATCATTCTATCATCTCTCGCATACGAGTTCTCCTCGAATTTATCCTCACTACTAGACTCTGCTGTGCAAGGCTCGGGGAGTAGGCTATATTAGTATTTAAATAAACTTAGGCTGCCGTTCGCATTTAGTGCATGAGTGTTAACCTTTAACCAGAAGCCGATCAAAAAGAGGCACATATTTAACAGAGCTTGGTCGTGTGATCTCTCTCGGTGCTTGACCGCATGATCGGCCGTTCGGTAAGGTCGCGTGACCGGAGTACGTTAGATGCGCCTACCACTTGAATGAGCGTCCTAGGGCTTTTCCATTTGCTAATCAATCTATGAAACCTCCTATTTGTACTCTTCATACATCAATCAAAGTTCTGTTGAGAAGTCCTGTTTATCATTAGCTTTGGTATCTCGGAAGTATCATTTTGGAAGCTATTACCCTGGAGATCCACATCTAGAGATATAGATTCGAGCTCGTCTGGTGCAAGTTCATCCGGGAATGAAAGTGGATGCCGATCACCACCAAATTGATCCTGAGTAGGATCTCTAAACAGCGTGTCTATGGTCGGCTGCTGAAGGTTGTTGAGCAATTCAGGACCGAAAATATCAGGCTCGATTGCGGCTAACGAGAAATATTCCAGGCGTGCAGGCGCATTGGTGCTACTAACGCTCTTCTCAGTCAAAGTCGTCCTAGACTTCTCCTTTAACAATGGTAGAGCTTCTGCCGCAATGTGCGATATCTTCGCTAGTGTCTCGAGAGCTGCGATAACCACCGAAAACATGGCCGCCGCATTCTCTCGACACAACTGTTCCATTTCGTAGAGAACAAGTAATGACGAGGCGGTACGTATTATAGCGTTTGTGAGAAGGTCGGGATATGGATCAAGCAACAGAATGTTGAACCCGGGGCTTTTTTCGCTCTTCGCAGGACTCGTTTGAAATGCTAGGTTGAGTGCATTGACAATATTTCGACACGCACAAAGTCGTAAATCATACGGGCTGAGTGTTTGATCGATAAAGACGAACGTAAATGGTAGTGCGTCCACCAGAATGAGGTTACCAACTTCAAAATGGATATTCAAGTGGACTGAAATTTGTGTTAGGATGGTAGAATATGTCCTAGATCTATTTGAACTCACTGAAATACGCTTGGGTTGTACTGTTGAGAAAGACAAAGTCTCGCAGGCCTAGGCACAGCAGATTACCAAAGATCTCTTGGTATGCATTGCTCTCCTTTCTGGCGGCATCGACAGCGGTGGAAAGTGATATTGATGACATTTGATGAACAAGTGCGTCTTGAACCCGTGTTATGGCAGCCCAGACTAGAGTCTTGTACGCAAGAGCATGCTGTAAGATTTCTGTTAGCTGATCTTCACGAATAGGTGCCTGAAAATCTCTTATCGGATGGAACTGCCTCTTGAAAGCTTGTGCACGATTTCGAAGAGGAGCCCATATTTTCAGCTCGCTATCACATCCAGATGGCAGTAGTACTGATGGTCTGCATCTAATCAACGCTCTGGTGGTGTCTGAAACGATTCCAAACCAATAAGCCGAGCTTGACATGGATAGACGTCGCTCTCCATCAGAATCTAGTGGAAAATTGGTTTGCTGAGAGTGAGAGCCACCCGCTGAAAGAGGAGCATTCTCCAATAGACTGATGATAGAGTCTCTAGCAGTGAACGGTAAGTGTGCTCGTCGGGAGTAAAGATAGGTATGATGACTTAGGGATGCCTCTATGCAGTGATCCTCAAGGTTGTCACCTGTTTTCCTTGGTGAACTTGGAATCATGGCGAAGAGATATAAAGCCAGGATTGAGCGATATGAAGGTCTCGACAAAATCAGATATATTTGTGTTCGTGCTTGAAGCCAGAGGTTGTTAGAAAGGTCGTGCTTTAGTTCAGTCAACCTCTGTTGCAACCGTGGGCTTTGATGTTGATTGTCGCTGAGGTCGAGCCACCGAACAGCATATGCATAGACAGCATATATCAATGCTCGACTGATTATACAATTCGCACTGCGCTCACTCTCACCCCCACCTAAAGCGACAGGGGTAGTTCCGACTCCCTGAGCGGAAGTGGAAGTGTGGTTATCTAGTTCAATCATCAATCTGGAAATTCGCGTTGGAGTCTAGATATTGGTCAACCGTGTAAAAGGTAGAGGGTATTTGGACACACCAAAGTCGTGCCAGTGAATGGAGAACCAGCGCCTCCAATATATAGTCCGATGCGGGGCTCCAGAATAGAAGTGAACACGTTCCAAAGTAGGTGATGGAGTCTCCAGACTTGTTGATACTTTGCCAATGAGTCCGAGAGCCTTGGCGATGATACTGAGGTTGCGCTGTGCGGAGAGAATGACTGAGACGTCGGCAGTGCGTCATCTTGTGCATTATAGTAATCTTGCGCTTCATTCGAGATTCTTGCTATATCTGGCTGCTCGATTAGATTTTCATTTTCTGGAGGATGTTCTTTTCCAGTGACAGACACTCCTGCGCGACCATTTGTTGCAGTCTTCTTCAATGTCATTGAGCATGTTGTACGTCTACGGACGCAATTGAAGCAAGGTAGCCCGCGCTGCTGGATAGCATTGCATCCAAGACGCTGACGCTGGCATTCATCGCAGCTGGTGCTTGATCTACCCATTGTTGGGACCCTTGGTATCAACGCTTCAGCGATACAAGTAGTCGATCGAACTCTGTGCAAAAATATCCTTGACCTGGTAAGATGACATCCGCCAATCAGCGTTGATAGTAGATCTCGATAATATTGTCGAGATCTCGAGAACTGAAAAATATATGACCAAAACAAGGCCTGAGGACTTTGTAAACGACAGAAGTTATCGAGGGGTTTGCGGGGTAACCAACTGGTTAGCGGTGGTTTTAAGCCCACGGCCAATCAAGAGGCAATAGGGTCGTCAGACTCGGGCACGCCGAGGGTCGCTATGAGTTACTTCTGATCGAGCTCCCGGTTAGATGCTATTGAGAAATTGAGGCTGAGCCACTCAATGTCATCAACCCCAATTTCTTAATGTCATCAGCAGCTTGCAGAGTTACACCTTTGACTCGTTTGGCGATCCAGCGCCATAGAAAATCAAGGAGTCGCCCCTCACTTCCACCTGCTTGTTTCTTAAGAGAATACAAATACTTAATCCTATTGTAGTGTCTAGCCTTCACACACTAGACAATAAGCTGAGTTACTATCCCCGATCAGCAAATTTCTCCCAATTCTTTGCTCCGCCTGCTCCTCTAACCCAACGATCAGGGGTCCTTGTTTCGGTAGTCGTATCTATCGCCATGTTTGCAATCTGTATCCAACCCTGACTTTTCAATGGGAATTTTGCAGCGGTTTCTGGACACGCTTCGTAAGCCTGGCATATTCCTTGCCCGTGAGCCAGTGTGCGAATCAATTTAGCAATGTGTCCATCATCATGTGTTAGTCGATTTGTTTTCTCAATCAGTAGAGGCCACGTCAAAAGTTTCTGTAGTGGCGTATATTTGGTTATTTCCTCGGGGTGCAGCTCTGGTGCTAGTCGAGAAGCGTAGTTGAGTAAATCGATCCTTCCTTTCCACTCCAGAAGCCGGGCCTTATTTTCAGCGCTTAGCCAAGACTGTTTGTTGAATGCTGTGAGAAAAATGGAAGCATTAACACTATGAATAAAGAAGAAGTCTAGCTTGATTGTCTTTCCCAGTCGCTGTGCGGCGCCGGTCATCCAGGCGGTGGCATTGACTATCTCGGCGGTCTTTACCTCGATTTCCTCAACACTTACTCTCCACTTGGCGGCAATTGCACAAAGCTTTTCCGGTGCATCAGCCACAATCTTCTCGTTCAAAGAATCACCACCGTCCCAGTATGCTTCGTCATAGAGATCAGCATCTTGTCTAATCTCACTCAATAGATCCACTAAAGAGCTAGAATCTTCCTTCCTCTGAGTTTGTGCTAGTCGCTCCGAGGCGAGGAGGAAAGGTTTAAAGAAGGCACTGTGACAAACAGCTTGTGCTAATCCCTCAGCAATTATCGCAGGCTGCTGAAACTCGATTCCGAATCCGAAGTGAATAAGAGGATGAAGGACTCCTTTTGGGAATCTGTGTCAGCCAGTATTGATCCAAGTAGTGAAATATGATATGTGCCTACCAGAAAAAAGCCTCACCAGTAATTCATCCGCAATGTCACTACCCGAGAAGAGGTATTCATTGACAACATTCTGCCATCCTTCTAGCTCAAACTTTCGTTTGAAGAAGGTAGTATAGTCGTTGAACCAAGCATCATACCCTAATAATGACTTGAAATATCTTCTATCTGATAGTTTCTCAATCAACTCTTCGTCGAGCGGAAGCCGTGGCCGTTGATACCCAGTATTGATATCAAATGCTGTTTGCAACTCGCTGGGATCTGCACCGAGAGCGAACGCCGTCAGAAGATAATGAACTTGATGGTTATGATAGCCTTTGAAATTCCAATAGACGTGAAATTCTTCATGATTCTGCTGAAGCAAGGAAGCGACTTTCTCGATTGCACAATGAGTGATCTCTGGGACGTGGTAGACCCCAGAGTGCTTCAAATTTATCGGAAACTCAGCCATTGCATTGAATCAAAGTTTTCAAAAATTCCTATGAAATGTTTTAGGCGAGCTTTCAATCACACACCTCAGCGTTCTCAAGACATTAAAAGTGCACTTTCAGTTTGACTACTTAAACTATACCATGGAGCGTCCGACAATCGTGGTCACGTGATCGGAAAAGACACTCAAGAGCGATTTCTGTTGGGTAGTCAGGATACATTAAGTCACTAATTTATGTGCCTCCGATATGCTGAGAGACAGACATGGGTAACACAACCGGTCGTTGATTTGTCATCAGTAGGCTCCAGCATTCAATTTCGCTGAACCAAATTGCAATTAAGACATTGACTCGGTTGAGAGCATTGCTGTTGGTCTAGATATAATAGCACATTTGGGAAGTTTGACTTCTTTTCTGCTGCTCCACCGCCATTTCACAAGTTTCTCGGTCATGGCGTCAATGACCATTGCAATAGCAGGAATCACGGGAAAGTTTGGCCGACTTCTGGCTCTTTGCTTACTGAAAGCGTTGCCCGAAGTGAAGTTGCGAGGCTTAGCGCGCGAGCCTTCAAAGGTCGATGATCCATCCCTGTCAAGTGTCAACTTGTTTCAAGGCGATGCCTTTGATGTTGACAGAATCCGTCAGTTCGTCCGTGGTGCAGATGTGGTCTGCTGTTGTTATCTCGGCGATGACCACCTGATGATTCAAGGTCAGAAAATTCTGATCGATGTGGCTGAGGAGGAGGGGGTTCCACGTTACATTGCATCGGACTGGTCCCTGGACTGGACAAAGCTTGAAATGGGCAAATTGTTTGCCAAAGAGTCTTGTCAGCGTGTTCACGAATATCTCGCAACAAAGGCGAACATAAGGGGAGTCCATATACTGATCGGAGGATTCACCGACGTTATCTTCGCGCCGTTCTTCAGAATCTGGGATCAAGAGAACTTGACATTCAACTATTGGGGCACTGGGGACGAGATGTGGGAGTGTACCTCATATCTGAACTCTGCGCAATATACAGCAGCCGTATGTCTTGATCGTGAAGCAGTGGGTATTCTGCGCTGTAAGATCTTCCCGATTACGCTTATTCTTATTCGCAGATCTGACTACTCTAGTTGTTGGGGATGTCATCAGTATTAGGAATATGGCCAAAACCATGCAGAAGGTTTATGGTAAGGCGCCCAATATGCATCACAATGGGTCGCTGGAAGAGTTGAGCGCTATAATGGTCCATGAACGGCAGAACTATGGCGCAGACTTCTACAAATATGTGTTCAAGTAAGCTGATCTTTATTGAACATGTAGAGGAATACTAACAGAACACGCAAAGTTGGTATCACTATTTTACTTTAAGTGGTCAAGCGCTAATGGGTCCGAACTACGATAATAAGAGGTATCCGGGAGTGAAAAATATCTCTGTGGAAGAATATATGAGAGCCTTAAAGCTAGAGGACCTCAGTAAGGCGTCTTTCCCATGGGAAGGAAATACCCATAGCTGAGTTATGGGGAGAAAATTGAGACGCGTAGAGAAGTGCTATGCTCCCTACAATGCCGCAGACTCTTTGTTAAGCAAGCATACAGTGTGAAAGCAGGTTTTCCACATAAGAGAGTCGACGCTTTCCTTGCAAGAGTACCGTATACGTTCCCTTAATTTAGTCCTGTCTTACGTCCTTAGGATATGAGGTCTAGGGATATCCAGCTCAATTACGTGTTTTGAAATTGAGCGGGTAAGTGGACCTGGTTAGGATCTCGAGTGCAATTGACTATCACTAGCCTTGCCCCATCCCTCGGTCGTTCTTAGCTAATCCATCTCCTAGGCCTACAGTCCCATTATATGACTTGTACATTTTCCATATGCAGCCCGGATTATATGCAGTTAACTCGATCAAGTCTTCGATTCTAATGAGTCTCTGCTCATGAACCTCACTACTAATGTTATAGCGCTCACCGTCGACCTATTCACTTTACTATTTTAGGAGGAAAAAGCTGGTCTAATTCAAAAGAAGATCCCCAATAAAGTATGAAATTTAATGATTTTTCACTTAAAACCCTGAGCTCCATTAGTGTCGATGGTTTTTAACATGGAAAGTCGATAGCTGCTTATACTCCCGTTGGGCACCATGCAAACGCAACTCGGAGGGGGAGATAAAAAGAAGGATTGTGTTAATGGAGGGGTACTAGCGAAGTTGTGGAGACTTGATCGGCCTTGATGCTGTCATTCGGTTTCGCGACGTCATGTCCTTATATCTTATAGTCAGCAGCTACGGCATGGCACTGTTGAGGTCGAAGCAAGAATAACACGACACGTGAACAGCGGCCGCCCATTCTTGGATAGCCCTAGGCGAACAAGGAATTTTGCAAAATTTTGTAAAGATAAGTCGATTCTAGAACCCCAGAGATCCTAACTCAAATCCTAAAGGTTTTTACTCCTATTTCTCTACGAGGAATTTAATTTTCGGTATCGATACGTTCTATAGGGTATACTAGCGAGCTGGCAATCTTGTACAGAATTACTAGTCGATTCACAGACTTAGTATATGCCTGCTTAGACTAGAACAGCGCGGCTGCTGATGAGTAGAGCCACAACCTCATGTAGCCTTGCTACCTGACTTAGCTTCAATCCGAGTAATGGCCTCGTCGGCGGTGACCACATTATCGAAGAGAATTAGGTTTATCATTCTGGCATTATAGTGTGTCGTCCCATACGACGCTGCCGTGCTGCACGAAAATCGCGATGCAAGCAGCACCGAACTTTTCGTAGGGCGGAAGTTTCGAAGCACGAATACCGCTAGATGTAAATGGCGGCCGCCCACTCACGAGATACATAGGTCGAGCGGCGAAAATTGCAATAAATGGTACGCAAGGTATATTTCATTCAATTGACTTTAGACTATACTCTACTCGCCTCTTTTAAGAATCCGGATCTGCCGCTAAACAACCAGCATTATTTACACACGAATCTGGCCCGTTATTAGTTCTCTGGGCATAGTCGAAGTTATCGTCAGAGCCTCCGGTATCACTCCGCTCATTGTATAAAGTGCAGGTCTGCGCCAAGACGTCCACAACGACACTAAAGCAGTTGAGTAGTTCATCGCATCGGTCTAGGCAATAATCGACATGGTTTTCGGTTATACTTACTAAGGAGAAAGTGCCTAATGTAAGTGTACCAGTAAGATATGCTGCTTTAACGCCACAAAAGGTATAATATGAGCAGCCGCATAGTTCATCCGCTTGGTATTGTTGAGAGTTCATGCAGTCGCTAGTTGGAGCCGGAGCAGAAGTTGTTGTTGTAGTAGTAGTGGTAGTAGTGGTGGTAGTGGTGGTGGTAGTAGTAGTGGTGGTCGTGGTAGTAGTGGTCGTGGTAGTAGTCGTTGTCATCGTCAAACTCGCTGTCGTTAAAGAAGTTTTAAGTGTTGTGGATGTAGTCTTAGTGGGCGATTTCGATGTTGGACATAGCTTTTTGATCTTAATAAGATAATCTACCTAGATCATAGATTTGTACCACTTACAATTGGTGTTTCAATACAAGAGCATAGGGTCGAGATCACATCGCGTGGCTGCCCCTGGCATTTGGACCACGCGGAAGCCTGAGAGTTAATGGAAGCCTTAGTCGTGGATGGGGCGGCTTTGGTCGTTGACGGGGCTTTCGTCCTGGATGAGGTGGCTTTTGTCATGGATAAGGCTTTCGTCGTGGGAGCAGCAGAACGTTTTGACACGGCTAACTGCAAAGTACATTTGATCGGGAATACTTGTGAGCAGAACGTCTGTGCAATTGGATATGTTGCTAGGACTGGAATAAGTTCTCCATACAGCCCACTTGAACAAATACCACCGCCGCGCTCTTGGAGAGTAGGTGAAGCAACATTGAGGACAATATTCAGAGAAGTAAGGAACAAAACTAGACTGTTCATCATTTTTACTGACTTACAAAGTTTTGGTAGATAGAGATATAATTCCCCTGATGGATATCCTACTCTACTTATAATGGGAGACTTATATAATGAGGGGAGAGAGCTAAAAACTTAAGGACCTAGATTCCTAATGCGCTAATCGGGCAATACTAAAGATGTCAATTCATCTTAGGTTTATTAGAGCGTAACTTTTTACTTTCCCAGATCGTAAGGATAATCTTAAGCGGGAGAGATATATTGTTCTAGACCATACCTAGCGGCGATCTACCTTGTTTACACTAAGAAGAAGAACACGAGATATAAGGAAGACATAGCTAGCGGTGATGAATAAGGGATCTGTAAAAGGGAAGCCGTTCTAGACGCAAGGAGTATCGCCTAGGATAGACGAAGTAGCTCCAATTAAAAGGTAGATACTAAATGAGGGTGCTCAAGTTGTCTTAAACCTTCCTTATGGCTACCTGACTTGGCATTAGCCATTGGGGGATCGCATTTTTCTGGTCATGAAGATAAAGCTATAATCTATTAGACCTCGCCCATCGCACCCGCTTATTCCACTTTATAAGCCTAGATTTTACGAAGATCGGACTAGAAGTCTGGCTGGAGGAATACCCTCCCGTAGATTCCAATCGAAAGTAAGCCTTCAGCTGTGTGAAATAAAGCCACCAAGCTCTGGCCTTCTAAAAGCTTGTGAAAAGCTTACTTGATGGCGATCATTGATTATAGGCGTGATGTTATCTACCCGTGGACAGTTTGGAATAATCGATCTCAATTATAATTGTAGGTACGCTAACCTTTAGACTTCCTGATTATTCAGATCTAGACCTGAACAAAATGTAAACCTCGAACCTTTATTATTTAAAAAGATACTAGGAGAGCTTATATGAAAGAGTTCATGTAGTTTGGCTCAGCATTATTTTCGCCTCAACAAAGTCTAGAGTTTCTCCGATTTTGGTTTTGACCGCTTCAACATCCTCACTACACCCTGCACCAGGTTTTCCATCATACGCTGCGGTCATATACGCCGTTCTTGGATTAGGCAGATCTCTGGCACCTCTTATGTGGAAACGTGACAAGATCCGGGTCGCTTGTTTTGCCCCAGTACTATACGGACAAACTTAACAGAGGACTGGGCCGGCTTTCCTCGTGAACTGTTTACACCGGTCGAGAACGTGGTGGCAGCGATCCTTCGCCTTGTGGATGATCCTAGATCTGGAGGAAAAGTCTTCGGAGCAGTTGGGAATGAAGTTGCGGAAGTCCCGTGTGCAGGCTTTTAAACTAAAAGCTGCAGGGTATTGATGGAACGACTGGAAGAAGTCGCTTTGAACTATACCTGATCCTCGAAATGAGAAATCAGAATTACTTAAGACAAGCGACTTGAGATATGCTTTAGTAATCTAGCTCATCCAAATTTATTAAGAATTCACCTTACCGTCGTCTTGTAGCTTCTATATCAATTTAGACACACCTCTTGTCGTTGCGGCAAGTTTAAAAAGAAGGATAAGTGATGATTATAGTACTCCAACCCATTAGGCCGTGTGATCTACTAATAGTGAATTGCTTTATAGCTCATAACACCAGTACTCTACATTTTCTCTAGTCTACTAGAGAATGATAACAACAAAAAACTAGATATATATAGCGTAGAGTCAAGGCGTATAAACATAAGATGTAGGAATTATATTCTAGGTTTGTTCGGTAGTTTCTTTACTTCTACATTTTATTAGACGACTCCATATGGCGTCGTTTATCTTCTGCAAAGTATCTCGGTGTAGACACAGCTGGCGAATTGGTTTGCTTCAGTCAAATGAAGGAGAAGGTGGACTGGCTATTTCAGTTACAGTCAAAGCTCGGACTAGCTGACTCCGTATTTATAGTTATTCCCAGTCCTTGAACGGTGACCCTGTCAAAATATCTACTCAGAAAAGCCTACCTTTCGTTCAATACGTTATTGGTGAAGCTAAATTCGGGGACAGAAAGTTTACCGAAGGACGACAGCTTATCCTGGATTGTGAGGTATTGAAAACAAGCTGCTCGAACAGGAGCGAGATTCTTTAGCAAGAGATCACAGAATGATCATTGAACGTTGACGCAGCAAAACGTTGCAATCTTCAAAGTATCGCTTACTCACAAAGAGGCACTAAGACAGCACCAGGCTTCTTTCCTATTTAGCCGCATTGGATTCTGCTTGTTTTGGACGATGGAGATCTCCTTGACTGTTCAGAAGATGCTTGAAAATCTGTACATTATCCTCCGCCTTTATCACTAAACAGCGTAGTAGAACGATCAGTAAATTATTGCCGAGAAACGCCTCTTCTTCTAACTCAGAAGAAAGGTTTGAAGCGTTACCGATGGAAATTAAACAGCGTTATGATGAAGAATCACGACATTAGTTGAATAACTATACACTCTGGTAAGCAATCCCGAAGCAGTTTGTGACTGAGAATGTAAGTTGACAGGGAAACTAAGACGTGAGGTATTCGAACACCCTGGCCCCCGCCTCTAGATATTATGCCCGGGGCTGAGCTTCTCGGCCTATCAAATATCTATTCTATGGAAATGATCTCCAGCAAGCAACACGTGATATGGTTAAATAGCCAAGCCTTATCGTTCCTACGACTGCCTTCTACATGTCATTCTGGACGACCGAACTTAACCACAGGCTACGCGTCAAGCAAACATACTAGATCAAGTCGAATATAGAGTCACATCCAATGCTGCATCACCAGAATAATGTTTGATGTTTACCTGAACGACTCGCGCCAATCCCGGCTCACAACGCGTAGGGGATGCTTTGCTGCCCGCTAGCAGCTCAAAATAGTTGGACGACGGGATAGACGTTACCGATATAGTCTGTTTCATTGCCTACCTACTCGGAGAGTAAATCGAGCTTAGCACCTCGGCGTACCAACGACAATATGGTATGACCAAAACCAGTCTAAGGGCCTACCGTAATGCGGGGTAGATATACTAGCCAAGCTTTCTCGGAGAAACGGAGTTTACTCCTTACACGTCACACACATCCCTGAGCAGTAGTTAACATTGGCCACTATCTTAATCAGCTTCTAAGGCAACGCAAATTCATCGAGTCAAAGTGGTCGACTTAGAAGTAGACACCCCAGTATGCCAGAGGGAAGTGAGAAGTACTCGGCGCGACAAGCGACTACAGCTGCGGAGCCCGCACCGTCGGGCATTAGGAAAGTCAAAGCTTGCACGACCTGCCGGACTCAAAAGGTGAGTCAATACTGTTCAGAGAGCACAATCCAGCTGATGCAAACCCAGTTAAAATGCGACATGCCGGGAGGTGAGCCGCCTTGCAGCAGGTGCCAAGGGAAGACGTTAAGGTGTATCGTCGCAAGTGCCAATCAGCCGGCGCTCGGCGATTCGACTCAGTATTAGACCTGTTCGCCTTGAATGAGCAAAGCTGACTAACTAGATGGCAAGAAAGCGTCTCAGCCAGCATATCACAGTTGCAGACGGCGGTCGGAATCCTCCTCAGAACATCAAATTTACCTCCGTTATCTGCTTATAGTTCTTCCAAGCCAGCTGTCCAGATCCAGCAAGATGATCATTCAAACGTGGACGATGACAATGGCGAAGCCGTCCCAATAGCGTCTAGCGTTGACAAAACGGACGGTGATATCTATAGCTCGCCAATCAACTCCCTCTATGAAGTCACCAAAGGCAAAGCACATAGTATCCCTCTAGGCACGACTGTCCAAAGAGATTATACCAAAACGGACTTTATTGCACAAGGTCTAATCTCGCTGGAGACCGCCGAGAGTTTCTTCCAGAGCTTCACTTCAAGATTAGGCTGGTTCTGCTACGGCATTATGTGCCCGCACCAGTCCCTTGAGAGTCTTCGGGGCAGTTCAACGGTCTTGACCGCAGCAGTCTGTACTGTTGCTGCGCTGCACGATCCGGAGGCATCGTCTCTGTTCAGAGTATGCCAAATGGAGTATCGAAACCTGGTGGCTTCCAAAATGTTCGCGACTGCACATAGTGCCGATGATGTACGAGCGCTCATTATAGGGGCTTGGTGGTTGGGCAATATCTCGTACACTTTGCATGGCCATGCAACCAGGATCGCAACCAGTCTCAACTATCACCTAGCATATTACGAAGCAATCAAAGGATGTACCATTTCCAGGGACAAAGCCAGGCTCTGGTATGTCTTGTACGTTATGGATCAACATTCCAGCATACTCTATGGCCGGCCAGCTATTATCTCCTCCAAAAATGAACCTTGCCAAGAGTGGGAAAGATTTATTGCTGCTGGAGGTGGTGGGGAGCCGGACATCCGAGTATCAAGCCAAGTCGCTCTTTATGCTGTTACCACAAAGCTTAAAGATATCCTCGATGGCCTCCCACGCCAGCTCGTGCCCCAGCACTTTCTGCATCAGCTTCGCCCATATTTCCACGAACTTGATCGGTGGTATATGGTTTGGGGAAATCGAATGCGTAAGCACAAGCCCCTCGCTTCCTGCGTATCAATCTAATGCCACCAGAAATAAACCCGTACATCGGCAGCTTCTCTACTGATGGAGCAATACTCAATTATCATTTTGCACGCCTTCATCTGTGCTCCTATATATTCCGTGGCATGTCCGTTGAGGCGGCCCGTAATGCTTCTCAAGAAGTTCGAGATTACGCAACCGTGGCTATCGACTCTGCAACTGCGACTGTGGAGCTTGTCTTGGGGCGCAATGGCCTCCGAGATGCGCTGGTAGGGATGCCGCTTTATTTCCATGGCATGATCATATTTGCAGCAGTGTTCTTGCTAAAGGCGGTCGATACTCACTTCTTAGGTATGGTCAACATCGACGCCGTGAAGAACATTACCCTCGTGGAAAATCTTGGGCTCGCAATGCGTTCCCATGGTGCAGCGCGGCAACACCTGACCTATCATGTCAGCCGTGGGCTTGAGAAAATGGTCACAGACACGAGAGCTCGCCTCTCAGAGCAAACTGCAAAGGATCACGGTCGACTGGCTACAAGCGCTTACCAACAACAAGCAAGCGACATCCATATAAGTCTGGACACTTCTCCCCAGCTTGACATGATGGACAATCTGTTCACACTAGATGCCTTTGATATCTTTCAGCAGCCAATAGAATGCAATGACGCCTCATTGTTCGCTCAAAAGCTCGACTGGGAGGCTACAGGTACCTTTCAGCGGGATATAAACTAGAGAGGTTCGTGGGAAGTGAATTGTTTGGGAAACCAGGTGTCTTATTGTGTCTTCATGGTCAGTAACGTCTGTGGGAAGGTATACAATTTGGCTCTATCTACACTGCCAAAAATCCAGTCCCAGTACTTTCAGTTATACCTCCGTCGACGATGAGCTCGTGCGACGTTACGTACCTGCTAGCGCCGCTCGCAAGCCAGGCTGCAGCATTTGCCACATCCAAACCAGTGCCCATCCAACCCATGGGGCAGTTGTGGTCGAGGATACGCTTGGCTGCCTCCCTGTCTGCCGGATCATCACTGTTGGCAAAGTTGTCGACCAAAGGAGTATACATCAGCCCTGGAACCACGCAATTCGATCGTATACCTTTCTTTGCATACATCACACCAATAGCCTTGGTGAAACGAATGACAGCCGCCTTGGCCGATGCATATGCGATTTGGTGCTTGCCAATATAGCGCAACGCTGTGATTGAAGCATTGTTGATAATGTTCCCAGAGCCCTGTTCCTCCATAATCGGTAGGACGTAATGACAAAGTCGATAGACTGATGTCAAATTTATGTCAATCTGACGACTCCAGACCTCTTCCGACATAGTTACCGGATTGCCAGCAGTTGTCTGGCCGACATTATTGATGAGAATGTCAATTCGACCATGTTTCTCTACAACACTTGCAACGAGAGCCTCCATTTCCTCTGACTTTAGGACATCCGCAGACACGACATCCACGATTGCATCGGGCGTCTCCATCAGTAGCCGCTTTTTTGTCGTCTCCGCGGCCTTAATATTGATGTCACAACCAAAAATACAAACGCCATTCCGGGCTAAAAGACGAGCGGTAGCAGCCCCATTGCCCCAGAAAGGGCTATCCAACGGCCCGACTTGACCGATGCCAGTTACTAGTGCGACTTTGCCTTCCAAATCAGGATAGAGTGGAAATACCTCAGGAGGAAGTCCATCAGTCGTGCTTATTTTGTGAATCATGTTGAAAAAATGTGATGTGTGGCTACGCACAATTATCCACTCGATAAAGCTGGAGTTGAGCGAGAGATATGTAAAAGAAACAATAATACAAATCGACTTGAAGATCGGGACAGACTGAAGATATGTGATGAGAACTCGAAAAAATGGGTGGCAAAATGTAGAGCGGATCAAAAGCCGAGACTACTAGGAGTGGGTGCCCGGTTTTCGTACGAAAAGCCGACGCTCTGCGTTGACGTTCCACGAACCCTTCTTGGGGTCTCGCATCACTCGAACGGCATTTGCCACCGTCCAGAAAGTTGGGCTGGGTATTAAAGGTAGGCCGTCCCGGCTGCCTTCCTACCCTAACAACGCAAGCAAAACTTTCGGAAGTCAATAATTTGACTGCATGCATCATCGCATTCGCATCGCGCATAGAATACACAGATTTACTACATAGGCGACTACACGTATCATGAAGGCCGAAAAGTTCGAATTGTCGCCTCCCACGTTGAGGGAATTGACTGCAGCACTGAAGGCTCCTCTCGCCGCCAATTTCGAGCATTCTAATGTCGAGGTTGTGCAATGTCCGGACCTCCGGCGAGCGCCCTTCCATCTGGCCATGCAAGGCTTGTCAGGGAACGAGAAGGCGGCAGATGTTGGAGGTCAGCCTAACCTCTTTCCCACGCCAATCAAGGAAAGCATTTGGTCTTTGACGGACATAGCGAAGGCCATGGAGATGAGTCCTGAGAAAGGCTCTCTACTCGGCGCTGGTGCTGGACCATTTCATCAAGTGGGCCAGAACTGTGAGTTGACTCCGAATATCAGCTGGCAACAAAGTTTTGAGAACGTGCACAACGGGAGCTACGTCGCAAAAATCGATCCAGAGGTCATGGACGTTCGTGTGATACCTTCTCCATCGCTGAACTGCGCTCTGATGATCAACCTCTTTGGATCTGCGGGCGAGCCTGGCGAGGTTATCAAGGTTACAGCACGCAAGCGTATCGGTAAACAGAATAGCTTTACGGAATGCATCCGACGAGCACTTCATGCAAGATATGGGGACACGCAGACAATCAGTCTTGGTGGCGTATTCTTGGTGAGATCAGGAAAGATACATTACCACATCATGCCAGATTTCCCTGCAGATCTGCCCTTCAAAAACTTTACGCATTTGAATGATTGGCTAGAGTATCGAGATTTCAGCATACCAACTGTTTGTTGTTCAGTGCTCCACTCGGCAGATCCGGACAAGAAGATGGCTTTGCGCATGGAGCATACGCATTGTTTCTCCCCGAACGGTCAACATGCTGGCGGTCATTATCATTTTGACGTTGACCCGGAGGGTGAGATTGTTGAATACGAAGGTTATTTCACCACGGCAAAGGTTATCTATCGTCTCGGAAGACCTGCCGTAACTTTGGAGGGCGATCTACACGATGAGCTCCATCAGTGATAAAGTCACATGGACCGTGCGATATCGTAGAGTGGCAAACTCAGCAAGGATTGGGGATGAAGACAAAGTTGGAAGTATCGTATGCTAGCTACGACTCGCGCATTTAGACTAATGTCGTGTCCGCCATGAGTATCTACATTAAATTGGATCCGAGAGTACGCATGTTTCAAAACTTCTTCCAAACCTGGCTCCACTGGCAGAGGATGGTGATTGCCGCTCTGTCGTAGCGAAATAGCTCCCTGCATTAATTTACAACACGGCGTCAGTGTCAGGGCTATAGTCTAACCGACTCTGCTTCACCTTAGGAGACTAATATGCTATGTTAGTCATAGCTAGGAACCCAGAGTCGGATAAGAGTAGTCCTTCGTGGAAACTACTAAATGTAACACCCAGCAAGGGACAAAAGAGACATCATGAGAGCGGACACTATCGTACAGGACTAAGGTCCTGGCCCACTTTGACCTTGGTCTTCGTTTCAACCAGACATCTTAGGGAAGAACAGCAACTCTTAGGAATAATCATACTTAAGGAACCCCCCGAACGGTGTTCGATATGTTCGTAGTATCTAAGCGTACTTGCCAGCACACACCGTAAAGCGGAGAAGCGCTAGAATAGCACTATCCAGCTCTTCGGCTCAATTGTAAGGGATTAGTATCCACTAACTTCTAGCCTACGTAAATTCTAGTCTTAAGCATAGTGTTGCAACGCAAGGCAGTGTCGATCGTGTTAAGTCGCGATCTTTCACAGAAAGCATTATTCTGTCTTGCAGGCTTCTCTCCTGGTTCGGTCGTTCGCGTGTCGTTGGCAGGCACGGGCAGGGCAAATTGGTATACCGGTCCTTGGACATTACAAACCTAGCCACTGTGGAAACACGTTCTAGAAGCGTCGGGAGCCGATTCCCCCATTGAGAGGACAATATTTATACAGCATTAGTTCCACAGTTGGCCTCGCATGTTCTGGGCGGCGTATTGAAAGTAATGTTTTGAGCTAAAGATTAGTCCAGGGCAAGAGTCAAGAGTCATAATCTCTTCTTCTTGCGACTCTTAACATCCGAGCAGGCGTTGGAACCGCCGCCACAAGAAATCTCGAATAAATTCCTCTGCATCCTGAAGTACTATAGGCAGCATGAACCATGCATTGTACGACTGTGCTTTATCCTGATGCTTAAACCACTTCCGTCCACTCCGAGGCAAGGATGGGCTGAATCGTAATACGAACACTCCTCGGTGTCTCTGGCCTTGCCAACGTGATGAAGATACCACGTTGGTGTCGGGCGCAAGGAGCTTCAATCGCGGCGCAACCTCGTACCGAATACCTGATCATCGTGTCTTGCTCATTCATTCCGTGGTCGCCCTAGCCTGTCTCGACTCACAATATTTCTCCCGAGTTATCGGCCGGTCGTAGCTCCTTGCGAGCGATTCGTGAAACTGCCTCGGAAATAGGTCATGGTTAACTTTCTCAAAGTCTAAAATCTCGCTTTTGAAGTTTGTGCCACAGTTGCAAAAAGAGGCGATGTGCTGATGAATGCGCGACCCTTGAGGGAGTCCAGCGGCTTGGCGGTCGGAGGTTCGTGCGAGCTTCGGACACCACCTACATTCAATGTCAAGAGGCTTGGCCTAACTAGAATTGAGGGGAACGGGGACTAAGTTAGACTGGGGAAGCCCGCGCGACGCCATGAATTACAGCCATATAAGATCCTCGCACGTTTCCTCCTTTCCGTTGTCAACAAATTCGCACAGAGATAGTCCAGAAGTCAGCAGATCTTTCGTGCAATATATGAACCACATCTCGTTGTCTATTCAGCCCAGCATGTCGCAGTCTGACCACTCTGAGAGGCTCGAAAAGGGATCTGGAGCGATGGCCGTGACGGACCTGGTTGAAAACGTCGAGAATCCGCAATGGATTGAGGGGACACCTGAGGAGAAAGCACTCGTCAGGAAAATAGACCTTTGGTTGATGCCTAGTATTTGGGTTCTTTACCTTTTCTCTTATATGGTATGTTGGACCTACTGTCATCCTTCAAACTGCTCACGCTTGATCAGGATCGAAGCAACATTGGAAATGCGAGACTTGCTGGTATGGGACGTGACCTGGGCCTGACTGACTACCAATATTATCTCACTATCGTCGCCTTCTTCGCTGCTTACATTACTTTTGAGATTCCATCAAAATACGTCTGGATCTTTACTCTGCGGTCTGTTTACTGACTTTCTCATCATAGCATGATCCTCAGTCGCACCCGACCCTCAATCTATGTCTCAACACTAGTTGTTTTATGGGGGGCCGTAGCCGCTTCCATGGCTGCAGTTCAGACACCAACACAGCTGATTCTGATTCGATTCGTTCTTGGGGTCTTTGAGGCTGGATTTAGTGTAAGTCCTATTCCCCAGCAATGTTTTCCCCACTAATCTCAGAATCAGCCCGCAGTGCTCTTCATGATATCAACTTGGTACCGTAAGAGTGAACAGTAAGCTGGGCATTTATGGTACACTTGTTGCCAACGCTTACAATGACATAGTTCAAAGCGCTTTCTATGCTATCTGAGCGCTGGAATTCTCTCTGGCGCTTTTGGTGGCATCATTGCAGGAGCAATTAGTGCTGGTCTCGATGGCACCCATGGTATTGCTGGATGGCGATGGCTCTTCATCGTTGAGGGCATTCTAACCGTAAGCGTCGGGCTCATGGCCCCATTCTTCCTTCTGGACTATCCAACGAATTGTCGCAAATTCACCCCTGCCGAGCGAGAAATCGCGTGCGCACGACTCAGAGCCGATAATATCAGTCATACGGCAGAAAATGGCCGCGTAGGTCATTGGCGGACGCTATGGAATTGCATTATGAGCTGGAGGATTTGGCTGCTCGCAATTCCTTACATGAGTGTCATTGGAGCCTTTAGCTTCTCTTACTTCTACCCGATGTTAGTGAAAGGCCTGGGCTACACGGATGTCACTGCACAGTGCGTAAATGAATACCCAGATCTTATTCTATGTCCCAGCTAACCTTCCCTTGCAGGTTCATGACGGCGCCGCTCTACGTGGTTGCCTTCGTCGTTGCTTTGCCTACTGCGGTCCTCGTGGATAAAGCTCCAGCGTATCGCGGTCTTGTCTGCTGCGGATTACTTTGCTTTGGTTCACTCTTTGCCGGACTCGCAGCAGGAATCCTTGCTTATACTCCGCGATACGTTTTCCTCTGCTTCATCACAGCGGCGGTGTGGACCACTTCACCAGTCGCACTGGGTTTTGCGTCGGACATTCTGTCAAACATTGACCCCGAGCAGAGAGCTGTTGCTCTTGCTCTGATCAATTCAATGGCAAACTCAGCGACTATTTACGCTTCTCTGCTGTATCCTTCGACTGATGCGCCGGCGTACTTGAAAGGCTTCGTGACATGGACTGTCCTGTTAGCTTTTGGTGCCACCCTTTATGTCGTGGCTTGGGTCCTTTTCCGAAGACATCCAGTCAGGAAAATCGTTTGAGACGGGACTCACCACGTGGCAAAAGTAGTCAGGCCTGTCGCTGAGGACGACACTCAAAATGAGATGATACGTCCCCCCCCCCCCCGGGGGACGTATC